GTTTTGTGAATTTTTTCACACTGAATTTCCAAGTTTCATTTCAGAACAGAATTTGAACATCAATGAACTGGAACTTTTGACCATTATTGTAGCCATGAAATTATGGGCCCAAAACCTAAGAGGTAAAAGAGTGTTAATGAATTGCGACGATAATACGTCAGTTCTAGCTCTGAACTCAGGTAGAGCGAAATCTGAAATGATGCAAAAATGTTTAAGAGAAGCTTTATTTGTACAAGCTCATCATAAATTTAAGATTAAAGCTGTGCACATTGCTGGAATCGACAACAGATTGCCTGATTTGCTATCCAGATGGGATAGAAAGAATTCAGAAAAGTTTTTTGACTCTGTTAAAGGGTCTTCGGTTAAAGAAAGGTATTGTTCAAAATATTTATTTGAATTTTTACACAATTACCCAAATGCGAGTAGGTAGTTACCAGTTTCACCACCAGGTGGCTGATTCGGGTCAATTAACATGGCAGGTATATAAGAAAGTTCCCTTAAACTTGAATATTATCAATTTAAGTGGCTCAATTTCCATATAACCCTTATGTGTCTAATACTTATACTAATGAAAATATGTCCAGTAAAGCAAAATATTATCTGTCCACTAAAAGAAAAGATATTTCATTTTTTGTGATTTTATAGCATGGGGTCTATGGGGAATCTCCCCGAGCCAGAAGTCCCATTTTCAAAGAAAAGTAATTTTTCAAAGTTGATAAACACTTTTTAAAACCACATTTCTAGATGTAATTTTACATGTAGATTTCAAATATGATATTACTTTGACTGAATTTTGAATTTTTAATGACCTAAATCAAGATTATTTCTACTCGCATCTGGGTTATTGGTAAATTATTCATTTAATTTATATTGCAGTGTCTGAAATTAAAAGACTTGACAAAGAGATCAGGGACACTCAAAGAGCTGGCTTTGCAAAAGGTACGAGGGAGGATTTGAAGGTCCAATAGAATCTTTACTTTTTGTTTTGTACTTATTTAGAAATAGAGAGTATGCCTTTGTCATTAGAGAATACTCTCAGATAATATTCAATTTCTTGCCAGATCTTTTAAGACAACTCAAGCGATCAGAAATTATTTGAATGGTGTACGAATTTTACACAAGATTTCTGGTTTCGAATTTGTTCATCATCAATCTATAGACGCTAAATTTCAATTAATGGGGGTACAAAAAAAATCCCCACACACCCTATCCAGGGGGAACCTATGACTCCTACAATTTTAAAGCAATTAGTCTCTATTTTGGATTTAACAAATCTAAAAGAACATGCATTATGCACTTCCTGGGTAGTAGCTTTCTTCCTTTTTGCTAGGAAATCTGACATACAGTGTAGTTCCTCCTTCTAAATACAGATATGACTGTAACAAACATCTCTCCAGAGGCGATTTCCTTATTGAAGAAGAGGTGGTTTAGGTAAACCTTAAATGGAGCAAAACCAATCAAACTGTATCTAGAAAAGTCAGAATCCCTCTTTCTCAAATACCCCACAGTTCTATTTGCCCAGTCCGTCTTCTCAAAGAATTATTCAGAAGGGTACCAGTTAAATCGGATTCACCCGCTTTTACCTTTGCCCCTGGGGAGTTCATCATGGAACGCATGGAAACTAACTTTAAAAAGTGAGCAATTGTCATTATTTGTGATAATAACGTCCCTTATACCTATTTATTACAGGTCGTGTAGACCATTGTTGCCCGATTAATAGCAAAAACATTGACTTTTGCACTTTGGTGATGATGCGCCTTTTTTAATAGATCTCATATCTTAGAAGGGTATCAGTTCAAAAAAGATACTAGATGACCTAACATATTTTGCCATGCACTGCGCCTATTCATTTGGTAATTTAGTTATCCATTTTCTCTTGAAAAAATAAATCTTCCAAATTTGTTGAGTTTTCTTGCAGAAATTACCCAATCCCCTCCATCATTTTTGTACGGTCACCGGGCGTGATCACGGCCAACTCCTTTGTTTCTTCACTTAGGCTAAAACTGAAACACTTGGGAGTGCATAGTGAATGTTACACAAGTCATAGTTTCCGCAGGGGTGGCGCCACCTTTGCCTTCAAAATTGGACTACCTGGAGAGTTCATTCAAAAGCAAGGTGATTGGGCTTCAGATGCATACAAATTATATTTGGAAATTGATGAGGATCAAAGACAATACTGTTACCTTTTTGTTTTCTTTATTTTTATTTTCATTGCGGGCACTTTTGGGCCAGTTTGCAGTGTGGTTATAAATACAATAGTTGCCCACGCTGCAGATGCCCCCCTTAGGTGCCAAATCATTGAAATCTATAATTTATGTTTAGTTATTAATTATATGTTATTAGACAAGATGTATCCGATCTTGAGTAATTCTGTATCTGTGGTGTCCTGTCTCGTCTATTAAAGACCTGTACTAGGATGTCCTGTGAGTAGTTTTTACTAACTTAGCATTCCACACATAAATATTAATCTGTATTGTCCTATGTTATTTGAGATATATTTATCCAGTGTAGTAATGTCTCATATCTTGATAGTAATATACAGTGGGGAACAAAAAGAATTACAAAAGCTATGAAAATTACATGCTGTCACACATTTAATAAATTCTTACCTCAGTGTATTCAGTGCTCTATTTTCTCAGTCCTAGTAAGTCTTCGCCGGGTTGGTGTAGTGGTTAAGGCATTGGTCTGAAAAGCAGGAAGTCTGGCTTCATGCTGAAAAGTAGAGGTCTTGGGTTCAAACCCAGGTCACAGCACTTCTTGTGATTTGTCTTTGACCTATGACTGCTGACCTATACCGGCGATTACTAGAGTGCTGCTGACTCGATTAAAGGCTTGCGCTGGCTAGAATTGTCTATGGTTCTAGCCAGGATAAAGATACCAGTTCTTCAACTCGACAATGGGAAGAACTGCTCTACCTTAGTGACTAATATGTCATGATATGACATCTAAAGAGTCAATAAAAGATATAATAAGTCCAGATATAGTGGAATTTGTGTCCATAATGACAAATAAGAACTTAAGAATTTGAAGTGGATATTCACATGTTAATGCTGACTCTTCAAATGTTGAGGTAATTTTATAGCCTGATTGCGCCGCAATGTGGATTGGCTCCCAGTATGCAACATGTAAACGAGTAAATAAGGTTAACTGATGTTGCATTCTGGAAGTCAATCCTCCTTGGATTACAAACATGGCGATTCATGAAAACATTTGTTTGATTTGGTAGGGATTTATCCATCATTTGCAGGTATGAAGCTTTGGATTCATTTATTGTGCTACTTAGAGTTTTCTACCGCTTGGGCGATTTTGAGACAGGAAACTAAGAATTTAGCTCATTGTGACTTATCCTGTGCCATGACTATAGTCCTGGAACGAGCCAATGCTTTTGACTGTATGATTACAACTTGGGAGAATGATCTTCGCCCCTTACACTTTAGATACCTACTTCAATAGATTCCTTGGTATCTTAGCATTCTTTTCGTGTAGTTGAATCCAAAATTGTCTGGGTTTATCGGCAGAACGAAGAAATTTTCGTTTTTGATCGATAGAGATTCCATCACTTTCAAAGATGGCGGTTGGATTAAAAAGGGGATTCCCCGTTTGACTTGCCCGGAAGTTCCAAAAATGGAGGAATTTGACGGTTGATAAGTTAAATATTACATGCAAATATTGCGATCAAAAACAAAAATTTCTTCGTTCTGCCGATAAACCCAAACAATTTTGGATTCAACTACACAAAAAGAATGCTAAAATACCAAGGAATCTATTGAAGTAAGTATCTAAAGTGTAAGGGGCGAAGATAATTCTTCCAAGTTGTAATCGTACAGGCAAAAGCATTGGCTCATTCCAGAACTTTACTATATTTGCACATAGCCATCAGGAGATAGCTTTGTGCAAACTAAATAACCAGGACTAGTCCTATAGTCCTGGCACGGAATAAATTGTGACAACTTTTGATGGTTGAGATTTATTTTTGGTCCTCACTTTAAGGTACAGATGGAAAATAACATTTTGGTAAAAAATGGCCTGTACATGTTATTTTCTGGTACAAAATAAAGAATGAAGGCATGTGTTGCTTTTTTCAGGAAAGTATCATTTACAGTGGGGATCATAAAGAATTGCAAAAGCTATGAAAATTACATGCTGTCGCACATGTAATAAATTCTTACCTCAGTGTATTCAGTGCTCTATTTTCTCCGTCTGAGTAAGTCCAAATATAGTGGAATTTGTGTCCCTAATGACAAATAAGAACTTCAAAAGTTGAAGTGGATATTCACATGTTTTGCCGACTCTTCAAATGTTGAGGTGATTTTGTCGCCCGATTGCGCCGGAACGGAGGATTGGCTCCCAGAATGCAACATGTCACGTGCCAGCTTTCAAAATGCTGTTCCGCCATTTTGAAACCTGTCATGAGTAAATATGGTTACTGATGTTGCATTCTGGGAGTCAACCTTCCTTGGATAACAAACATGGCGATTCATGAAAACATTCATTCGATTTGGTAGGAATTTATCCATTATTTGCAGGTATGAAGCTTTGGATTCATTTATTGTGCTACTTTAGTGAACGGGAATTATTTTTCTACCGCTTGGGAGAGTTTGAGACACGAAACTTGGAAATTAGCTCATATGACAACTTGTGAACGTTGAGTTTTATTTTTGTCCCCCACTGTACAACTGACATTGTAGGATGCCAATCATTGCTTACCGATTTATCTCGAGTGTTTTCTTCATCTATATCCTAGACACTGTAATGTTGTCGTCTGAACACTCGACGCAGTGAGTTTATCACTTGATGGAAGATAGCACTGCACATAGGCCCAGGAAGAAGATTTTGCACTGAATTTACATGATTTACAGACTGAATAAGAGGCGGCATAATTGATTGCATTATATTTACGAACAAATGATAACTTCGCATATTACTTGCTCTTTTACTAGAGTTTGCATCACTTTATTTTAGAGTAAAAGATTATATTTAGGAATAAAAAATCGGCTTTGCCCTAGCAAAAACCCTTTTCTATGATTAATCAACTCACTTATGTCACATATCACCTTTGTGGATGATCACTCGCAAAAAGATTATTGTTCGTATATTTATCGGATTACATTAATAATAAAAAATGGCGTCCGGCCAAAGTCGAGGAGAAATCGATTTGGAGAAATCATTGACAAATACAGTTTTGAATCTTGAGAAAATAGACGAAAATCTATATAGGTAAGATAATTTATATTCTTGTTGCACAAATGCTACATAAACCGGTAGGGCAGCTTCCAATCCTGAACAAATCTTGACTTGAACTTGAACAAAGGATTTCAGCCTTCGAAAGGTCAGACTTTATGTCTATGTCAGTAATCTGCAAAAGGCTAATAAGCCCATGTAAAGCAGATATATAATTTAACAGTGATAGAATTTGAATAGAATGTGATTTAAAACCTTAACATTTAAAAATAGATCTATTGTTTACAACTCATTTTAAAATTGAAAGGAACCTTCCTGGTTGGCCCCTGTACCCTAGGAAGTCCCTTTATGTTGAAATACCTTGGGGCGACTGTCAGGCTACCGCATTGACACCCCTCTTTACCAGTAGTGCAAGCTTGTTGCGGTGCACTGGGGACCTTAAACATTAAAACATAGATCTATATTAAAAACACACCTTATGCAGTTATTGACATAGGCATAGTATGATGATTTAAAACTACTTAGACTGTCACAGTCTAAGATGTCACCAGGTATTACCATATTCTTTGGAAAAGTCTAACACCAACATGTCTGTTTGTTTATTATTGTCGAGGGCCCAAGCTATATTCTCTATTGTATTGACAAGTTGGGTTTACTTTCACATGAGTGCTTTGACCTGAATCCATGTTGGAAGTTTACTAGAATTTCATAGAGGTCAAAGTGGGCCATAACATGATTAGGAATATACATGTATGTTCCATTATTTTACATAGAACTGATGTCAGAGATACAGGCCTGTAATTCACAGCCTCATCTCTTCCTTCCTTTTTGTAGATAGCAGTAACATTGGCATGTTTCCAGTCCATAGGCACAAAGCCTTCATCGATAGACTGTTGAAAAATTATTTGAAGGAATGGTGATATGCTCTCACTGCATTCCTCCAGGACCCTAGTTGGAATAAGATCAGGTCCAGTAGCTTTTGATGGATTAAGGCCAGTTAGCAATTTGTGAATTCCTTTTGTTGAAATTTTGATATTTGGCATTTCAGGAATTTGACTGGGTACCATTGTCGGTAGAGTAGCATCCTCATCTGTGAATACAGAATTGTATTGGTCATTGAGGATGTTTGCTTTCTGGGCGGCGTCTGTTATTTCGTCGCCATCATTGTTACGCAGCACGCTGATACCTGATGCATCTTTGCGTTTAGACTTTATGTAGCTCCAGAAGCATTTGGTAATGCCTTTGTGCTGAACATTCTCATTTATGATTTCGCTTTCATCAATGTCAAGCAGATCGTTGATGTAGCGCTGATGTTAATCCTGTGACTATAGTCCTGAGAACGTCTCAAGGGGGGAGCTCTCAATCTTTTGCCTGTACGATTACAACATGGGAGAATTTTCTACGCTTCTTACACTTAAGATACCTACTTCAATAGATTTCTTGGTATTTTTTTAGCATTCTTTTCGTGTAGTTGAATCCACAATTGTTTGGGTGTATCAGCAGAACAAAGAAAATTTTGTTTTTGATCGCAATATTTGCGTGATATATTTAACTTATGTCAACTGGCATGGGATAATTCAGACTTAAAGCCTATTTAATTTGGGTAGGTATGTGCAGCATGGGCAATATTGGCTAAGGGCATAAACCACGGGAACTTGAATCTACTGAAATCTATTGGCCAACTTGGAAGACAGACGTTTCATGCCAATACAGAATTTCTCTAGCATATATCCTGTATTGACATAAAGAATGCAATATTTTACTAACAGATGCTTGAAAATTTTTTACAAATAAATGTGTGTAAATATGTATGTACTGATGTGTATTAGCCATCAGATATAATACTGTAGATTGGGTTAATTTGGCGCTACTTAATTTGGCGATTTTGCCATTTTTGGCTTATTGGCGGCTATTTAATTTGGCGAACATGCAAAAAACAAACAATTAAAATTTTTTTTTTTTAAATTATAATTAATATTCACCACGTTTGTAAATTTTTGTGAGATCATCCTTTACATTTTGCACCTCGATCGATGCTGCTACTATACCGCGCTTTTCCTTTCTAGTTTTCCCTGAGTATTATTGAGTGACTGACCAGTTCTGAGCCAATTTATGAGAGACATTTTTTCATATTTTTGGAAAAACTAAACCGGAAGTGACCTAAATACACTGGACGAAATATCCTAGATAATTCCCGGGGATTCATTCTAAATTTTGGCGAAGATTTATATTGGCGAATTTTTCAATTTCGCCAAATTCGCCAAATTAAAGCGGGCGCCAAATTAACCCAATCTACAGTAACAATTGTTCCCTATGATTACATGTTGTTTCCTAGCTAAGAGAGAAACAGTTTTTTACACTCCAATCTTAAAATTACAAATGTTGATGAGCACTCCTTTTAAAATGAAATAAAAAGGGTAACACAACATTTTTAGTAGATAATTTAAATTAGATATCAAGGTTGCCCCGTAGACATTTTTGACAAGTAGAAGGTCAGCCAAAGATTAAATCTCAAATCTAAGGTCATATATGAACTCTAGGCAACTTGTAGACGATGTTTGAAAAAATATTTGTTCAAGTTGAAATTTGACCTTGAAAAATTCAGAAATTTGTGATAAAATATCCCTAAATTTGAATCCACAAAATCAATTTGAAAAATCAACTTTTTGCCTTTAGAAGGTCACCAAATGTCAAATCTAAGGTCAGATTTTAACTCCTGAGACTTTGTTAATGATTTCTTTTTGAAAATGGGTGTATTTGAAGCAAGTTGAAGAATTACAGATTTTTACCATTTTTTAACGTCAAACATATCATAAACAGTAAATATTTAATACAAACATATATTGAGCAATTTGCAGGAATGCTTATATCAAGTTACAATCTAATTCATCGCAAGAAATAATGAAGGACAAAATCTTAGAAACTTAAAAAAACTTAAATTTGACCTAGATTCTGACCTTGACCTAGATATGAACTAATTTCCTGACAAGTCCAGACCAGGTCCCTAATAGGTTCATATATGAGATTACTGAAAGTATTTGGAGAAAAAGTGCTAAAAAATAATAAATAAATAATAATAACTACAAAAACTATGGGTCTAGGAGGCCCCTTGAAGGACCTCCTAATAAAAAGGGTAACACAATATCTTTTGTAAATAATAGAAATAAAAAGGGCAATACAACATTTTTCATTTTTCAACAATCAAATTTTGCATGTCTTGAGGTACCCTACATGGATCTGAAGTCAATTTGAATCTTTGTGATATGCTTAGATATATGACTTGCTAGATTTTATCAATTTTCAATGGTACCCCTTCAATCCTGGAAGAAGCCCCAGTGTGCTAAAGAATTTTTTATTCTATTCATACTTAATATTTTTTATCATGATTTTGCATGGGTATTAGGAATAGCCTCCACATCATCTGTGATTTTTTACAGTAAAAAATATCAAGGAATTAAAAAAATGTTGATCCTTTTAGAAAGTGTTTGTCTATTAGACATTTCGAAATATTGGTTGTCAAAGGGTTAAAAAGAGACTTTTAAGTTAAATTCAGCTCTAATAATTTTTTTGAGTGTGACATATTCTTTGTTATCATCAAATTTATCATAAAATGGCCTGATATCTAAAAATTTGGATAGCTATGATTTTTTTCATTTTTGACCCCCTCCCCGAAAATGGCTGAGGGGTATAACATGACATTTTTCCAAAATGAGGCTTGTACATCTTCGTACAGGCGACTAAAATTGCTTGAAATACCATACAGAACCACCCCACAAAGTTTCACGATTTGTTCCATCAAAAATTATAAGAAACATGAATTCCGTGTACTATAAATAATTAAATTTCTGTACCTTTTCAATTCTAAAGAACATCACAATTTCTGTTTCCAAATGTCACTTTGACTGAGTAGCATGAATTTCAAGAGGAATTTAAGAATATACGCCCAAATTGTGTCTGAATGAATGTTCTTGTGTGTATGGAATTAACTCTTTTCATTGAGTTTCAAATCTAAATGTATCACATTTAACAAAAGAAAATAAAAACCAATTACTGTACTGCATTACCGCCTTCTGAATATGTGAAAGAGAATATCGTAATGTCCTCATGAGTAGCTGCAATGAGCTTTAATGGGAGATTGAATGGAAGGTAATGACAGTTACTTATGAAGGCTTGAAATTATGTGGACTGCCTCCAGTTCTTAATTCAAATATGCCAATGGTCATCTCACCTTGAGAATACTTTTTGGATTTCAAAGGTTTTGAAAATCAAACCAGTAGGGGAGTTGAATGAATGAATGTAAATGTCAGTAGATGAAAGAAGGTGAGAATATAGTCCAGAGTTAGAATATAGTCTTGAGTAAAAATATAATCCAGAGTAAGAATATAGTCAAGAGTAAGAATAAAGTCCTGAGTAAGAATATAGACCAGAGTAAGAATATAATCCACAGAGAGAATATAGTCCAGAGTAAGAATATAGTCCAGAGTAAGAATATAGTACTGAGTAAGAATATAGTCCAGAGTAAGAATATAATCCAAAGTAAGAATATAGTCAAGAGTAAGAATAAAGTCCTGAGTAAGAATACAATCCAGAGTAAGAATATAGTCCTGAGTAAGAATATAGTCCAGAGTAAGAATATAGTCCAGAGTAAGAATATAGTCCAGATTAAGAATATAGTCCAAAGTAAGAATATAGTCCAGAGAAAGAATATAGACCAGAGTAAGAATAAAGTCCAGAGTAAGAATACAATCCAGAGTAAGAATAAAATCCAGAGTAAGAATATAGTCCAGAGTAAGAATACAATCCAGAGTAAGAATATAGTCCAGAGTAAGAATATAATCCAGGGTAAGAATATAGTCCTGAGTAAGAATATTAGTGGTTACTATTGGTTAATATGGTTATTTGGTTTACAGTACACCATGAATGTTGATAATTGGACACCATCCATCTCACTGAGAACGCCATCTATATGATCTAATTATAAATGGTCAGAGAGACATTTTGTAAATTATTATGAGGGTACCAGGGTTCTCACCAGGAAATTTTTAGACCCCATGTTTTCGCGGTATCGCAACAACTCCTTCCCTATGTGAGATCAGAGATGTCTTATTAGTATACTTATCAAAACACTAAAGATTATCTTCCTATTTTAATCACAATACATGTATACATTTCCTAAAGGTTTCTGACTTCTTATTCCTATTCCTTGTATGTATCTCAGTTTTACATTATTTTCTCAAGAGATTTACCACAAATAATGTGACAAAAATGTAAAATTAGAGGGTCTAAAGACATTAGACTCCAGAGAATCTCCAGAGTCTAAAAGCCTAGTGAGGACCCTGGGGTGAACATCACTTTGTATGTAATCACATGCCATCACTTTGTACATAATCACATGCCATCACTTTGTGTGAATATATACTTCCTAATAACCAAACAGTATTTCAAGCTATTATTGTCATAGTTATTATTTGGTTGAATCTTGAAATACTCAGTTTCATTCATTTGGATAGAGATGGAACAAGATCAGTTCTAGGAGTTCTGTATTATTCATTGTTATACTCTGTTCTCTCTCCATTCAATGTGCCTGGCATTTTAGCCATCAACTTGAGGATGTTAACTGCTTGGTCTGCTCCTGTATTTATAGGCCAGAGTAATAAAAGTGTATGTTTAGCATATTTCATTTTTGAATAAAATGGTGGAATGCAATTTAAAATTATTTGTTTAACTTTAATGTGAATTACATATAATATAAAACAGATTGTTCTGTCAAAATATATGTAGATGACATAATAAGATTTATTATGGTTTGTCATCCATAACTGCAAAATGGTTCTTTTTTTGATATGCAGTTTTAAAAAGGTATAAATGCTAAACATACTATTTATTTACTCTTGTCTAATCGTTTATTTGTATTGTGTTTTACAGATGTGAGTTGATGACACACAATAAACTCAAGACAACTTAATACGACATAACCAACTTGGACTTCAACTAGAAATTGGGCAGCTCAAAGTTAAGAGACCAATTCATAAAAACTGCACAAGTTATTGATTTCTTTATGAATTTGTAAAGTTTTCATGACAAAATGGAGTACATGGTAAAACATGAGGCCTTTGAAATGGGTCCCCATCAGGAGGGTCGCCACATTCCTCAGTCCAATAGAGAAACTCTGAGTGTATATACTGAGTCAAACATTCTCAGGCTGGATGTTAACCTTGAACATTTGAACTTCGATGATGATAATAAATACATTGAATCAGTCATAGAGGCCACTACAAACTTTAAAATTAATTTGGAGATAATTAGACAACCTCTGGTCAGCGAGAGACTCGATGGTGAACAAAGGAATGAAGATTTGGCTAGATACAATCAGGATATGTATGGAAACCAAGGTGACACATTACCATTTGATAGTTCAACCATGCATGATAATGACAATGTTGAAGATGACAATGTTGAGGATGACAATGTCGAAGATGACAATGAGGATCTCTATGTAAATGAGAAGGATGTGGTTGTTAAACAAGAGTTGAAGGACACAGTTGAAGATAATCACTTGGTAAACAACGATCATGTTGAAAATGCTGAATTCTTAACAATTGAATCAAATCAAGGTGCTGATGTCAAGGGAGTCAAAGTTGAAGGATCGGCTGGTGAAAATGCCCCAAGAGTGCAAGATCATGTTGGACAATTTGGTGCTGCTTCTCAGCCTCTTCAGTGCAGATACTGTAGTAAAAACTTTACTAAGGCTTTTCATCTAAAATATCATGAAAAAAGCCATCAGATTAAATCAATCAAATATAGCATGTATAAAAAAGAGTTTGTAAAGAATTCCCGCTTCAGATATATTTTGCCAAAACCAAATCCAAGTTTCAGATATATTTTACCGAAACCAAATATTGGTGACCCCGGTCATGCCAATTTAGTTCAGCCTAAAGATTCTCTTGGGGAAGAGGCTGGTAGTTCAGGTGACAAGAAATTATATCATTGCAGAGTTTGCGATAAATCATTTACTATAAGATCGAACATGTTGAGGCATTACCATGGTCACAGCAGAAGTTCACGTAGGCCCATTGGTGAAAGAATATTTAAATGTAGTATTTGCGATAAAGGATTTAGATTAAAAGGCAACATGCAGAGGCATGAATTGATACACAGCAAATCTGAAGAACCTGCAGAGAAGTGTTTCAAATGTCAGCAATGTGACAGAGCTTTTGCAAGTAAAAGGGGTCTTATTTTCCATGAAAAGAGACATAATGGAGAAGATTTGAAAATATTTAAGTGTAAACATTGTGACAAAGGTCTTTCTAGTTTAATGTCACTAAACAAACATGAACAAATACATCTTGGTGAAAACGCACACAAATGCAGCATGTGTGACAAAACATTTGCATTCTCAAATCAATTAAAAGATCACAGAATTGCAGAACATGATGAAAAAACAATGAAATGCAAAGTTTGTGAAAAATTATTTACAAATTCATTTAACCTTAGAAGGCATGAGTTGGTCCATACTGGTGAAAAGCAATACCAGTGCAAATATTGTGACAAATCCTGTACACAACTATCTGGACTGAAACGTCATGAAATGACACACACAGGTGAGAAGCCATACAAATGTAGATTTTGTGGAGAATGCTTTTCTTATTCAGAAGATATTAAAAAACATACAAGAAGCATCCATGGTGAGAATCCATTCAAGTGTGACTACTGTGAGGAATGTTTCTCTATGGCGCGTGATGTAAAACTTCACGAAAAAACACATAAGGACTTAAAACCATTCAAATGTGAGTATTGCGAGAAAGGTTTTCGCTTTAAGAGTGATTTGGAAAAACATGCACGTAAGCATACAGGGGAACGACCATTTCAGTGTCAATATTGCGAAAAGAGTTTCACTTGGCCATCAGGTTTGAGCAAACATGAGAAGGAACATACTGGGGAGAAGTCACAAAGAGAAAAAACATTCAAATGTGAATACTGTGACAAATGTTTTTATCGCAATAAAGAGTTAGAAAGTCACATGCGTGTCCATACTGGCGAGAAACCATTTCGATGTCAATATTGTGGGAAATGTTTCACTTGGTCTTCAAACTTGATTCAGCATGAAAAGAGACATACTAGAGAAAAAACGCATCAATGTACATATTGCGAGCTAGGGTTCCCTACTGCAAAGGAAAAGAATAAGCATGAAATCGCAACTCACACAGGTCCTCAATCGTATCAATGTTCTATTTGTGGAATGTGCTGCGAAACAGAACATGGTATGCGTCAACATGAAAGAACACATACTAGAGATTTTGAATGTAAATATTGCTTAAAATGTCTGTCATCAGCATCAGTGTTGAAAAAGCATGAGAGGAAACATACAGGAGAAAAGCCATTTCAATGTATGTTTTGTGGGAAACGTTTAACAAGTGTCACCGCTTTGAGGTTTCATGAGAGAACCCATACTGGCGAAAAGCCATTCAAATGTCAATATTGTGAAAAACGATTCACACAGTCAAGTGATAGGCAAGTTCATGAGAGAATTCACACTGGTGAAAGACCCTATAAATGCCTATTTTGTGAAAAGAGGTTCTATGACTCTTCCAATTTAACAAAACATAAAAAGATGCACAATTAGTTTAGCTGTTGTTTCTTTAATTTATGCTACGAGTGGTCTGGTATATTCACAGCCCAGTTTTTGTGTGGTTATTCCTCATCGATATAAAAGCTGACAGATTCAAACTCTTATATTAAGGTTTTGATTTGCTGATTTTATGGCAAAATTAAAAGCATTACTCGATTACTTCATCTCCCAGAATACTGCTGATTGCTCCAAAAACAGTATGTATTTCTATTTTTAACATAACTGGAAATAGCTAATGTTACAATTGATATATTCCTATTCAGAAAATGTTCCACATTGAGATTGATTTCAGGGTGTCCATAAAGTCTCTTTACAATACAATACTAAGTCTGTGTAAAGAGACTTTATGGACACCCTGTATATTGAATTTTTTGACTCCCATTAATTTTACCTTAAACTTAATCTGTAATATAGCCTTGTTATAACCTTATAATCTGTATATTGATAGCCTATAGTACTAAGACAAAGGTATCTATCAAATCCTTAGTGTAATACATTAAAAGAGATAAATAGACATGATAGATAGTATAGACAACTGCTAGCTTTAAAAAACCAAGAGCCTATTTACTATGAAAATATATTCATGGTTTTGGAAATATATTTAGGAATGGCCTGTAGTACATTATCTAATGATCAGTAGGGATAGGATCCCTATATCGAAATAGTGTTGTCGCGATTAATCGATACATCGCGATGTACATCGCCAAAGCTGATTCTGGCGATGCATCGATGTCTGAAACAAAACATCGATGTTTTTTTTAAAAATTTCATTTGCTAAAAATCACCCTTTCTTATCTTATTTTGACCCAAATCGCTTACCTTTCTCATGTCTTATTTCATTTTCTGATATTTTCTGATATTCTTTCGCTTTTAAACTGTTTTAGTTAGTCGAAATGAACCATTAATCTAAAACAATTTACTTTACTTTCATTTCACCGTTACTAGAAGTTCCCGGATGTACTAGCGTACTCTTATTAATTTGTTCTGTTCGGTATTTTAGTGCATTAGCGTTCGGTATTTCAGTGCATTTTTCTCGGACTTTTTCTCGATGTACATCGCGATGTGCATCGATGTTTACTACTGAAAATTGCCGATGCATCAATGTACGATTATGGCACATCACGACAACTGATAGGTTACTAACCTAACATCCTTTTCACTCTTGAATATATCTTGAGAGCATAGATCTATTAATGAAATTAAGATATACAGGGTGTCCATTAAGTATTTTTAAACAGACTATGTATTGCAATTGTAGAGATTTTATGGACAATGTACATCAACCTGAAAAAAGTCTTTGTTGAAGAAAAACTGAAAAAGTTAAGAATACTAAGATCTGCTTTTTTCTGACTGATTTTTTCAATAGAACAATAAAGTTGCATTTTCCATTTTCCTTTCACGAACACTTTTTATTTATATTATTATAAACTTATATTTTGTTAAACTGTACATGTTCATAGCTGGGTCAGTGTTTGAATTGTGTGTTAAATTCTAATGATTGTCATTTAAGTGTTTCTTATATAGAATCATATATAAGACATTATAATGAAATGAATAAATAATCAAACTTGTAGAATATATTAGGATTTATGTGGCTTATACTGGGGTTGCTTTAAAAATTTTGATGGCTTGGGGTTCTGTGGCTTTTGCATGATTTTGTTAAGAGCATCTATAAGGGTTTTTGAGGCTTATACTGGGATTTGAGACTTATATAAGCATTTTCATGGCTTTATAATGGTTTTATGGTTTATATTAGAGTTTTGTGACTTATATCACATTTCTTGTGGCACATTATGGTTCTCTCCATTTCTGCTTCGTAGTCTATTGAACTTAAACTCATTCAATGTGTTGGACATTATTAGGCCAGGGTAGTTAAATTGTATGTTTAGCATTATTCAATTTTTCGAGGGATTGTAATGAGACTTCTTATATTATAACCCCAAAATAGGACTTATTGTGATTAAATTAAACAGGTTACCACCGTTTGTTAGAATGAATGAATTGGGCTAAATTATAATATATTTTGCATGAATGCTGCATGAAACCTTTTCCTTAGCTGTAGTTTTAAATAGGTTCAGACTAAAACATGTAAAATGCTAAACATATTATTTATAAACTCTTGTCTAATTGTTTATTTGTATTGTGTTTTTCAGGTATGATTGATGGCATACATACAATAAACTCTGAGAACTTTACTGAAGTGACCAATTAATTGCAACAGCGCAAGTGATTGATTACTCCCTATCTGTATTAAGGGTCTCACCACAAAATGGATTCCATCATAAAGCGTGAGTCGTTTGAGGCAGGGATACCCCAAGGCAGCGATGATGTTCCACGTACCAATAGAGAAACTCTAAGTGTATATACTGAGTCAAACATTCTCAGGCTGGATGTTAACCTTGAACATTTGAACTTCGATGATGATAATAAATACATTGAATCTGTCATAGAGGCCACTACAAACTTTAAAATTAATTTGGAGATAATTAGACAACCTCTGGTCAGTGAGACACTCGATGGTGAACAAAGGAATGAGGATTTGGCGAGATACAATCAGGATATGTATGGAAACCAAGGTGACACATTACCATTTGATAGTTCAACCATGCATGATAATGACAATGTTGAAGATGACAATGTTGAGGATGACAATGTCGAAGATGACAATGAGGATCTCTATATAAATGAGAAGGATGTTGCTGTCAAAGAAGAAATGAAGGAGATGGCTGATGAGGATGACGTAGGAAATGCTGAATTCATAACACCACAGACTAATGAAGATGCTAATGTTAAGGAAGAGGCTAAAGATCAAGAACCTACTGTAGAGAAGTCCCAAAAAGAGCTAAGACCTGATGGACAGAATATTGCTTCTCAGCCTCTTCAGTGCAGATACTGTAGTAAAAACTTTACTAAGGCTTTTCATCTAAAATATCATGAAAAAAGCCATCAGATTAAATCAATCAAATATAGTATATTCAGAAAAGAGTATGGGAAGAATTCACGTTTCAGATATATTTTACCTAAACCTAACCTAGATTTCAGAAATACTTTACCAAAATCAAATACTGATGATTCAAAGCGACCTAGTCGAATTCGACGCAAAGTTACTAAATTTGAGGCAGGTAAATCTGGTGGCAAAGCAAGCGACAAATCACACAATTGCAGAATTTGCAATAAATCCTTTACTGTGAGGTCTAATATGCTAAGGCATGAATCCATTCACAATGAAGGCTCACCTAGGCCTCAGCGGGAAAAATTATTCAAATGTAGAGTTTGCGATAAAGGATTTCGATATAAAGCCAACATGCAGAGGCATGAAGTCACACACAACAAACCTGTACAACCTCGTGAAAAACCTTTTAAATGCCATTATTGCTCGCTAAGATTCACAGAAAAAAGAAATCTGCTGAGACACGAGATGAAGCATACAGGAGAGACAATGAAAAAGTTCAAGTGCAAACATTGTGAAAAATCACTTTCTAGTTTGAAGTCACTAATGAAGCATGAACAGATTCATGTAAGTGAAAATGCACACAAGTGCAATATGTGTGAAAAAACATTTGCTTTTGCACATGAATTGAAAGATCACAGAATTGCAGACCATGATGAAAAAACAATGAATTGTAAAATTTGCGATAAATCATTTAGAGATACATACAATCTAAGAAGACATGAGCTTGTCCATACTGGCGAGAGGCGATATCAATGTAAATATTGCGATAAATCCTGTACACAATTATCTGGCCTGAAACGGCATGAAATGAAGCATACTGGCGAGAAGCCTTACAAGTGTAGATTTTGTGGAGAAAGTTTCTCATATTCTGAAGATATAGGAAATCATACTAGAAGTGTTCATGGTGAGAATCCATTCAAATGCAAGCACTGTGATGAATCCTTCCCAATGGCACGTGATGTTAAACTTCATGAAAAAACACATAAGGAAACATTCAAATGTCAATATTGTGAAAAATCTTTTCCCCGCAATAGAGAATTGGAAATTCATGCACGTAAACACACGGGCGAGAAGCCATTTCAATGCCAGTATTGCGAAAAAAGCTTTACTTGGTCAACAAGCTTACGACAACATGAAAAAGTGCATACGAAGGGAAAAACACATCAATGCTCATATTGTGAGCTGAGTTTTTATTCTTCAAAAGAAAAGAATAAGCATGAAACAACAACTCATACAGGACCTGAATCCTTTCAGTGTACAGTATGCGGAAGGTGCTTTGAAACAAGACATGGTATGAGACAACATGAAAGAACACATACTAGAGATTTTGAATGTAAATATTGTTTGAATGGATTTTCTTCAGCTGCAATGTTGAAAAACCACATAAGGACCCATACTGGTGAAAAGCCATTTCAGTGCATGTTTTGTGGGAAACGTTTAACAAGTGTTTCAGCATTAAACTTTCATGAGAGAACCCATACTGGCGAAAAGCCATTCAAATGTCAATATTGTGAAAAACGATTCACGCAGTCATGCGATAGAAAAGTTCATGAGAGAATTCATACTGGTGAGAAGCCATACAAATGTGAATATTGTGAGAAAAGATTTTATGACTCATCAAATTTAACAAAACATAGAAAGATGCATACATAACTAAGTTGTAGTCAGCCTTATAACCATTTATTATAACCATATTATACAATTATGAACTATATCTACATACCCATATGCTTTTAAAATATATAACTGATTTGTCATCATCAAAAGGTATCCTTTTGAATCTGTTCGGATGGTTGTTTTGCTAGCACTGTTCATAATAAAAAAAGTAATTGTTGATTGTCTGTGCAATATATAAGACTTTAAATACATTTTTAGTTCTATTATACTGTTATATCAAGCAATCAGTTTTGTGTTAAAGGATTAAAGCCCTGTACTCCTGTATTGTAAAATTTTCACGAAATGCTTGCATCGAGTATTAATTTTAGGAAACAACACCTGAAATTAAATTCTTTTCACGCATTGCAAAATATTTGTTCACTTAAAGATATGAAATGACCTTAAAGAATACATTTTCAAGGAAACCTTTGACAAGGGTAACTTCTGTTTGTGTCAGTCTGTTGCCATGACAACAATACAACATTTAACACTTATGGCTGTTTTTGGTCACACCTTGCCTAGCCATGTGTGAATGTTTGATTTTGTATCCATTTTTTCTCAGATTTTCCTACAACATTTTACAAGGGGGTAAAAATTATACTTTTTACAATTCTGGTTTAAGATGGTCAAAATATGAACATTGATATGATTTCTTTCAAGTGGGTGCAAATTGATTTTTAATTGTGGCCAATCCTATTTTCAAAATGTCAAGTGAGTTTTGAGCACATCTGACTCATTGCTATGGAGACCACTGTACATATATATTACAATAGTTATCTGTAGCTAAAGAAGTTGTTATATCACAACATTCTTTCTAATTGTAAATAAAATAAGTAGTAAAGCACAACTAATGTTCAGTTTATTACCAAGAAGTTGAGGACATATTAATGCCCCCCCCCCCCCCCATTAATACAGCTACTATTATAACCATTTGCAAATGTTTATATTAATGTCTTGGTTTATATTCCTAATGATCCTGGCAGATTCTGAATGGAAATATGAAAGTATTCATTTTATTTCTAAAAACTTGATTTTTGAAAATTGAATTTTTGACTTGATGTCCTTAACAGAAGGTAAAGATTAAAAGGTGGATTGGATCGAGTGGATTAGATTTCATGTAAAAGATGCACTGGATCGGGAATCTTCAAAATATATTGACTTGAAGACTTTTTCTATTAACCTCCCTCTGTCAGATTAATTGATGTTCTCCTCACGTCTACAATGTCAAATAACAGCTGTAATATTATTTTGCTCAGGTGGTCAAGAAAGGTGACCTGGTACCTACTTTCTGGTAATAATAAGCTCATTCATTTCAGGGTAATTTCAGGCAATTCATATTTCATAAATCATAAGGCAGACTGCTATTTTAATATAAACAGAACATCTAGTTGATGGGAACATTAACACATCTCAACTAATTGAGATATTTCTTGCCAATTGTCAGTGTTTCTACAAGTGTATGCATTCATCGAGAGATCACATGAACCATTGGACTTTTCAAAACTACTGTCTCTTACCCCATTGATCAAGCAACAAATCAAAATACTTTTTTCATCATTTGAAGTAATGTGAAAAGTATAGATGAAATACTGGACCCACCTTATACCGTCCATAAATACAATACAATATAATACAAAGAGACTATTATTACTCCATCAAGTTACTAGCTGGAGAGTGACCTCAAAATTCAGTGAACCTTGAATTGGATCCTTTCCTGCTCTCAGCCAAGACCATCTTGATTCCATAAAAATAAGCGATTGAAGGATGACATCTACCTGTATGAAATATACAAAGTTAGCTCCACATAATATTCCAAAGTGGTCCTTCAATCCTTATTTTTTACATTCAAAGTTTTTGACTGAAATTGTATGTTTGTATTGTTTCCAGAGGAACGAATCTATGGAAGCCGCCACTTTCACGTGCAGTGTTCGGAGGTCAGGTGGTCGGCCAGGCGTTGGTTGCAGCAACCAAAACAGTAAATGAAAACATGCATGTCCACAGTCTGCACTGCTACTTTGTTAAACCAGGTAATTGTGAGATCACAATCAGGTATGCCTTTGATTGGTTGTTTCCGTTCATTTATCAAGCTATCGCAAGCACATTAAAATGCATCTTTCATTCAGATTATTCATAAAAAGTTCTGCGATCCATAGTATTTTCTTGGATAAAAGTATAAGAATTATACAGTTGCACAATTTAGGTCCCTGGAAAAAACACATAGTATTGTGAGGACAGTTCACCAACAAGTTCACATACAACTTACCTCAGAATTCAGTATTGTTATTCCAGGGGACAATACAGTTCCTATTATTCACCATGTCGATCGTGTGAGAGATGGGAAGAGTTTCTGTACACGTTCTGTCAAAGCCCAACAAAGAGGACAAGCTATTCTTACCATGCAGGTCAAGTTGTGCTCTTTTCAGTTTGGTTTTCTGGTTTCTTTGCTTTTCATTTGTTTGTAGAGATATGCCTCTTTTCTATTGAAGAAGCAAATTTGAATGGAAATATAATTTTTAAATAATAGTAACCTGAAAGTCAAAACACAATACATTCATTTAAAATCGAGTGTCAGTTTAATAAAGTTTTTGGTCATTTATCTCTTTAATGAGAGATGCAATAAAGGAGCGAGTCATATATGTGCGTTGTGCTTATTTATTATTCCATGAACAAACTAAGGTACAATCTAACTAAAAGCTAACTAATACTCTTCCCGTGATGGTAGCTCTTTGACTGTGTAATGAAATCGTTCAATTTGAAATATGAATAAATCAGAATTAATATGATAATCCATGTAAAATAATGATAACTATGTTCCAAATAGGTGTCGTTCCATCAGACAGAGACAGGAGGATTTTCCCACCAGTACAACATGCCAGACGTCCCTAAACCAGATGAACTCCTCAGTGCAGATGAACTCGTCCGGAAATATCTAGAGTATGTTTAACTTGTCACGAAATATTAGAAATATAGAGTGTGTTGAGATTGTAGGGAATATTTAGAGTATATTGAGATTGCAGGGAATATTTAGAGTATGTTGAGATTGCAGGGAATATTTAGAGTATGATGAGATTGTCGAAAAATATTTAGAGTATGTTGAGATTGTCGAAAAATATTTAGAGTATGTTGAGATTGCAGGGAATATTTAGAGTATGATGAGATTGTCGAAAAATATTTAGAGTATGTTGAGATTGTCGAAAAATATTTAGAGTATGTCGAGATTGTCGGAAAATATTTAGAGTATGTTGAGATTGTAGAGAATATTTAGAGTATGATGAGATTGTCGAAAAATATTTAGAGTATGTTGAGATTGTCGAAAAATATTTAGAGTATGTCGAGATTGTCGGAAAATATTTAGAGTATGTTGAGATTGTCGAAAAATATTTAGAGTATGTTGAGATTGTTGACAATATTTAGAGTATGTTGAGATTGTCGACAATATTTAGAGTATATTGAGATTGCAGGGAATATTTAGAGTATATTGAGATTGCAGGGAATATTTAGAGTATGTTGAGATTGTAGAGAATATTTAGAGTATATTGAGATTGCAGGGAATATTTAGAGTATATTGATATTGCAGGGAATATTTAGAGTATGTTGAGATTGTAGAGAATATTTAGAGTATATTGAGATTGCAGGGAATATTTAGAGTATATTGAGATTGCAGGGAATATTTAGAGTATATTGATATTGTAGAGAATATTTAGAGTATATTGAGATTGCAGGGAATATTTAGAGTATATTGATATTGCAGGGAATATTTAGAGTATATTGATATTGCAGGGAATATTTAGAGTATGTTGAGATTGTAGAGAATATTTAGAGTATATTGAGATTGCAGGGAATATTTAGAGTATATTGAGATTGCAGGGAATATTTAGAGTATATTGATATTGTAGAGAATATTTAGAGTATATTGAGATTGCAGGGAATATTTAGAGTATGTTGAGATTGTAGAGAATATTTAGAGTATATTGAGATTGCAGGGAATATTTAGAGTATGTTGAGATTGTAGAGAATATTTAGAGTATATTGAGATTGCAGGGAATATTTAGAGTATATTGATATTGCAGGGAATATTTAGAGTATGTTGAGATTGTAGAGAATATTTAGAGTATATTGAGATTGCAGGGAATATTTAGAGTATATTGAGATTGCAGGGAATATTTAGAGTATATTGATATTGTAGAGAATATTTAGAGTATATTGAGATTGTAGGGAATATTTAGAGTATATTGAGATTGTAGGGAATATTTAGAGTATATTGAGATTGCAGGGAATATTTAGAGTATATTGATATTGCAGGGAATATTTAGAGTATGTTGAGATTGCAGGGAATATTTAGAGTATATTGATATTGCAGGGAATATTTAGAGTATATTGATATTGTAGAGAATATTTAGAGTATATTGAGATTGTAGGGAATATTTAGGGTATATTGAGATTGCAGGGAATATTTAGAGTATGTTGAGATTGTGGAAAAATATTTAGAGTATGTTGATATTGTGGAAAAATATTTAGAGTATGTTGAGATTGCAGGGAATATTTAGAGTATGTTGAGATTGTAGGGAATATTTAGAGTATATTGAGATTGTAGGGAATATTTAGGGTATATTGAGATTGCAGGGAATATTTAGGGTATATTGAGATTGCAGGGAATATTTAGAGTATGTTGAGATTGCAGGGAATATTTAGAGTATGTTGAGATTGTAGGGAATATTTAGAGTATGTTGAGATTGTAGGGAATATTTAGGGTATATTGAGATTGCAGGGAATATTTAGGGTATATTGAGATTGCAGGGAATATTTAGAGTATGTTGAGAGTGTCGAAAAATATTTAGAGTATGTTGAGATTGTCGAAAAATATTTAGAGTTTGTTGAGATTGTAGAGAATATTTAGAGTATGTTGAGATTGTCGAAAAATATTTAGAGTATGTTGAGATTGTCGAAAAATATTTAGAGTATGTTGAGATTGTCGACAATATTTAGAGTATGTTGAGATTGTCGACAATATTTAGAGTATATTGAGATTGCAGGGAATATTTAGAGTATATTGATATTGCAGGGAATATTTAGAGTATATTGAGATTGCAGGGAATATTTAGAGTATATTGATATTGCAGGGAATATTTAGAGTATGTTGAGATTGCAGGGAATATTTAGAGTATATTGAGATTGCAGGGAATATTTAGAGTATATTGATATTGCAGGGAATATTTAGAGTATGTTGAGATTGCAGGGAATATTTAGAGTATATTGAGATTGCAGGGAATATTTAGAGTATATTGATATTGTAGGGAATATTTAGAGTATATTGAGATTGCAGGGAATATTTAGAGTATATTGAGATTGCAGGGAATATTTAGAGTATGTTGAGATTGTCGAAAAGTATTTAGAGTATGTTGAACTTTTTTCAGAAGTCCAAAGGTGCCAGAGAAATTGAGAGCAACATTTGAGAGGGCTCTTGCTTATGAAATACCAATTGAATTCAAACCTGTCAACCCATTTACATATTATGCTAGAAGGTGAGTTCAATGCAGACAGTACTGACTTTTCTACAGATTTTTAAACAAGAGTGTACATATTGTATACCTATTGTATAGTTTTGTATTGTATTGTATAGTATTGTATTGTATTGAATTGTATAGTGAAGTGAGACATGTTTTACTTTACATCTTTTCAGATTGGGAACTAAAAAGGCATTTGAAGCAAAGCAATGCGTTTGGGTGAGGGCCACTGGATATATCGGTATGATGCTTATATATGTACGATGCTTACAATGTTAATTGCAAATTTTATTTTTGCATTTAGTCCACAGTAAATATAGCAAAATGGACATTATTTATTTTGAGTTTATACGTTTTTCAATCACATTTATCTGATGTTATATCAATGTTATGAAAAGTATTTTATCATATCTTGGCTTGACAAATAGATACATGTACCAATGAGAAAGAATTCAATTCACAAAATCAAAAAGCTATTGTGAACCCATTGCTTTTACTAACATATTTCTGTTATAGTAACTGCAAGGTATAAATGTGTTTTTCAAGGTGAAGATCCAGCCGAGGCTCACATGAATCTTCATCGTTGTGTAGCTGCGTATATATCTGACTGGTCTCTGCTTGGTACAGCTTATCTTCCTCATCCAAGGTTCAAATCTGGAATCATCGCCTCCCTCGACCATTCCATGTGGTTTCACACTCCATTTAGAGCGGACGAGTGGATGTTGTATGAATGTGAGAGCCCACAAGCAGGTCAGTTTTTATGTCACCACCAAAAGTGTTGACATTATGGTGTTATGGTCTCCGACCTTTTTGTGACGGCGTTTGGCCTCTGTAACAAATGGTATGTGTTGACATTTTGAATGTTAATGTCTTATTAGTTATTTCCAAATATTGCAGTTTTTGCTGGGCGTTATGAGATTTCAATAGGCCTCGTAGTTGACCCCCTTGTCACTTATATTATGCCTCAGTCACATGCGGCAGCAGCCACGGGGTCGTATCTAATGCAAAAATTACATACGGTCACATACTGTAATAGTCACATACGAGATACAAACTAGGATGGCCATGGGGCCTCCAGAGATCCTCTTCGTCCGCCGAGGCCAAGGGGGGGGGTCTGCTGGGGCTCAGCCGCCGTCCCCAAGACGTAGTGTAAATGTGACTGTGGCCATTAGAGACACCATCATGACTACATGACACCAAATGATAAACATCAGCCGGCGCCAAACGCCAACATCCAACACTCTAAATGCTATAACATTGTCACAACTACTTCATTAGTCGTGACGTAATATACTATTAAACATTTTTAGGAGGCAACCGAGCTATGGTATCTGGTCGTCTATGGCGGGAAGATGGTACATTAGCTGTCACCGTGGCACAAGAAGGACTTATACGACCTTACGATGAGAAACATGACAAGGCAAAACTTTAGGAGAATTAGAAAATTATAACAGCTACAACTTTATAAAAGTCTGAAATTGACATTCCACTGCAGATGTTAAAACAACAATTAATACTAATGTAAATTATTACCAGTCTTTGAAATGGAGGAATATCACAAAGGACAATTCAAGTCTGAGATATAAAATGGCATGGCTCACGACTCTCTCAAGATATGGAATATTTTATTAGATCTCTTGAAATTTAATGCAATTACCCAAATGCGAGTAGGTAGTTACCAGTTTCACCACCAGGTGGCTGATTCGGGTCAATTAACATGGCAGGTATATAAGAAAGTTCCCTTAAACTTGAATATTATCAATTTAAGTGGCTCAATTTTCTTATAACCCTTATGTGTCTGATTCTTATACTAATGAAAATATGTCCAGTAAAGCAAAACATTATCTGTCGACTAAAAGAAAAGATATTTCATTTTTTGTGATTTTATAGCATGGGGTCTATGGGGAATCTCCCCGAGCTAGAAGTCACATTTTCAAAGAAATTTAATTTTTCAAAGTTGATAAACACTTTTTAAAACCACATTTCTAGATTTAATTTTACATGTAGATTTCAAATATGATATTACTTTGACTGAATTTTGAATTTTTAATGACATAAATCAAGATTATTTCTACTCGCATCTGGGTTATTGCCAACGAGTCAGTCAGTTGCAAGGAAACATATGTGATAAGCAAATAGAAATCGAACAAGCTGCAGTTGGGAAAATGTATCAAATAATTTTATGAATCGGTATATTAAATTAGACGGGTATTTTCAAATGAGAATATTAGATATGAGATGATGCAGTAAAAGTGGACGACTTTGGGCGATTCAAGTCGTAAGTTTTGATTTATTTGTATATTTAATCATGGATCTGTTATTTGTTATTAATTTACAATAAATATATTTATAATACTTAATTAGTTGAATAACATACAATATTTATAATATGTAGACTATTTGACCAACTTACTAAATATTTGAAAATTTTTAATAGAGTATCACGTGTTATATAAATACATGTGTAAAACAATTACATCACATATATAATATAAAATATGACTAAAATATCAAATTAACGCCAGACCGTTAACTGCCTATAGGACACGTGGGACATCATCTGAACATGTTGTGATCCATAATTTTAAACATTTGGTTACCAGGCTTTTGCCACATATAAAGAAATCTTAATATGATCAGATCAGACATAAAGCAGCACATTTAAAAGGAGATGTGTAACAGACGAATGGAATTCATTATTATTACCTGAGACCATCACATTTATGTTAGTCTCACTTATTGCGAATTATGGATCTTGTTTTTAAAGTTTAAACTTTGAGGGTTCTGAACATACTATTGGCCTGCGTTATATAAAACAACTCAAACATGTTGATCTGAAAAAATGAGACCATGGACTGGATTATACATGATATATTATAAGAGGGGTTAAATATGGTTTTTATTCCGAATGACAATTATGATATTGACTGAGGGCTTCAGCTCCATTGTCATTTCGATATATTAGTTATCAATGTCATATACATGAAGTAGTACGGTAACTGGTCCCCAAGACAACTGGTCCCCAGGGCAACTGGTCCCCAAGACAACTGGTCCCCAAGACAACTTGTCCTCAAGGCAACTGGTCCCCAAAACAACTCGTCCCAAATCAACTGGTCCCTAAAAATCATTGACTAGGAAAGAGAGTAGCATTGTATTCTTTGACTTGTTACCCAACCAATCGTAACAAAGACCTCGGTTTTATGATTTATAAAAAAATCACTGTTGTAGTTATACAAGTTGAGTCAAAAATGCTTTGCTTGATCCAAATCCTTGAGAAAAATGTCTGTGAAATTCAAAAAAATATACTGACTTATTTGATTCACAGTATGACATTAATATAATTGTGCAGACTTCATTTGTTTTCCTAATGTGCACCCATAATACTTAAAATATACTTGTGGACCTGTTGACTTGGAGACCTTGTCCTGAGGAAGAGTTGTCTTGGGGACGAGTTCTCTTGGAGACCAATTGACTAGAAAGCAGTAGAACTAAGGAATGCAATCAATAAATTATGATTCCATTAATCAATTAATGTAAAATAAAGCCCACGGCTACAACATATTATTTTCCTGGAGCAACAACCTTTATTTTCAATGAAAATACTATTTGGAATATAAAATGTCACTATGTGGTATTGATCATTTTCATTGCATTTCCAAAGCAGGGTTTTTCCAGGAGCCAAAAATGACAATTCACCAATCCTCATTAAAGGTAGACAGTTTAAAAATCATTGACTAGGAAAGAGAATAGCATTGTATTCTTTGACTTGTTACCCAACCAACTTTACTTGACCAGGACAGAATTGCTGGTTTAAATAAATTATCAGCTCCTAATTGATGATATAACTTATCTAAACTTTTTATTAAATAATTAAACATTTCTGAAGTTTGTTGTCACGACGCACCGGCGGATCCAGAAGCTAACAAGGGGGAGGGCAATATTTGGAGGCTGGAAAAGAATGTCCGCGCTTGCCCGGAATTTTTTTTTTAAATAGTGGACCCAAATTCTGAAAATTTAAGGCCCATTTTTCTGGACCCACAAAAGGGTGGGGGGCATGCCCCCTCCCCTGGATCCGCCAGTACGAATAAAATGAATTATCGTGTGTCTGTCCGGGTGTCTGTACACACATGGTATTGCCTCTAGATAACTGAATATAGTACTTATTCGTTCTTGCGCTTCCAATTATTTGTTTAATGTATCACCAGATTATTGGTCGTGGATTATAGTCAACAGTGATAAGAGGATGGTGTATGATCGGGCAATATGACTTATCGAGATAATTTCAGTGTATTCGTCAAGTAGCTGGTGTTTATTTTGATAAATGTCGATACTCTCCAAAATGACCTTCTTATCACCAATGGGATAAGGATACGATTCCTTTGTGAGTGATTAGATTTAGAACTAGTTGGTAGGTCATGTCATGTACTACTACTACTACACATTGGAGTATTTCTATAGATCAGCAAAATATACATACTAGTTTACAGATTTGTGATGCTCCTAATTGACGGATATTAGTGATGCCAAAAAGCGTATGGTAACTATGGTAACTATGGGTTGATTTATCATTTAGGGTGCGTGATAAAGTTTCGGTTAAATTTTAAAAATGGACTTCAAGATTATTCAAGATTTTTTGTTGGATTTGTTTGAATTCACGTTTCCAGGATTACTTTATATCATTGTGCATCTTGTGCATACAGGTCGGTCATTGACTGGCCTCAAGTTATTCTGGACTTATATTATTTAGTATTGACATCAACTAATAATTTGTTTGTTGTTTGGTAGATGTCAATATTTATTCCTGGACGAAATCCAATCTCTAACAGCATTTATTTTCTATTACTTATTTCACTTAGTAAAAGTTTTGACACGACAAACTGATTTATCTGGGGATCTCAGAATTTTGGTTTTATTTCATCTTATGTGACTACCAACGTGTTGCAATATGTTGCCATAGCCACCGTTTTTGTGACCTGCATTCGGCATTGGCGTGCAACCATTTGCGGGTATCCACGTCTTGTCGGATCATTGTTAGTTCTTCTTACTAAAATAAACACCCTACTTGCTTCCTTGACGATGTTTGTGGGAATTTAGATAAAGTACACGACTATTTTTGTTGATCTTTTTGGCTGATTAAGCAAAGTTAAAACAATTGATATTCCCTTTGATCAAATACTTTTGGCTTTATGCTTTTGGGATACCACCTTTTATATAAAAATCAGTATTGTTTATCTTAAAGAAACCTTAGGTTTACACGAATAATTCAATTCGGTTGTGTATAAAGACCCCTGGAAAGTTTAAGTCATAATCAAATTAAAAACACTTGCATAATCATTTAAACCAACACCACTTTATGCAAGACGGATTTTAGATTTTGCAATAGTTATATTTGTGTAAAGTACACTACAATGTCAAATTGTAAATACTACATTCGTGGATTACCATAAAGTAACAAAAGAAATAGTAGATTTACTGCCAAAACCGAAACTCTCAAATCAACACGGATCAAAAAGACGAGCGTGAAATCCCAGAACGCCTCTTGGGCCATTTTGTTGTGATGTGACGTTGATTTGGATTTTGATTTTATTGAGTGGAGACGAAGGAAAGACAACTCCAGGGTTTTTGACATGTAGGGTCATTGGATCTATATCAATGTCTCAAAAACGGAAATTATAAGATTGCGGCAATAAACTCACTATTATTAGAATTGATTATTGAACAATTGTGGAAAATAAAGAACTTATTAAACAATAAAATACCAAGCATATTTTAGATGTCAAACAATATAGCTTAATAAAGTGAGGAACTTGAACATCAACTTCTTCTTTAGCAACCACTTTTGCTTGTAGAGACTTGTGAGATTATAACGATAGCGAGGAAGTTATCAATAACTAATTAAAGTGATGACACAATCGTAAATTGAACTGATGGTGTAATATCGATCCTCTCATGAGACTTACTTTCCAATTGATGCAAAATCGGAACTGATGAAGATGTTACAGTGCCACAAAAGGTAACATTAATTTCAATAGCAATATAGGATATATAGCAATATTATGATAATGTGCGTTTGGTCGATCATTGACATTGTATTTGCATTCAATGAAAAATAAATATAAAGAATAACTGTATAAGCGAATGAAAAGAATTAAAAGTTTATTTAGTCTTGATTCGGGTTAATATCGATTGGAGCTCTTTGTTGATCTTTGCCCGTTCATTTGTCGCATTTTGAATAGTCCTCTAGTTCCTTTGACGTCTCCTCTGACATTCGTTGTTACGTCGCTATGGGAACAAAAATCGAGAGTATTTGACTTTAAACATATTATGCTTTCCTACTTAACAATTCAGTTCTTTTTTAACGATTGAGTATATTATTTTAACGATTGTGTTATAACAAGTTGACGTTTCACCGGGCATGCAAGGAGAGGAAACTCAAGGTGGAGTACACTTGACATGATTTATTATATGAGCGATGTTAAACTATGGAAATGTGTAGGGACTTTATATGTTTTGACTCTTTTAGAGAATCTGAAACTAAAAAGCTTGAAGTAGATTCGCGTTTTGAAATTGTTGAAAGGATGATATTATCTCAATAATTGCAGAAATTGAGAAACTCAGGAGTAAGTATGACTTTATAATCTTTACTCGGAAGATATTTTATTGGATTGTACGAATTTCACAGGATAACCTCAAACCTTTCTTCCTTATTTTTGTTATTTGCTATTCGGCAACAAAATCAAGAATTCTAAACAAAAAGCGATTGAGATTAGGAACTAGATTAGGTATTCACCGTGGTATTTGTATATGCGATCTTACAATTCAGTCCGTTCGCAAATCGATTGATTTCAAGGATTCTTGACCACTGAATACAACGGATTGGATTAAGTATTTAATTGCCTTTTAGTGTCTTGCCTCAGGGGAAATCTTAGGTAAAGACGTTCATGGTAATATATTCAATCAATCAATATAACATGGAAATGTAAGAATTGTAGTAATTTGCTAAGTAAAGCTGCCAAAGAAACAGTGTATAGAGATCCCACAAGACAATGGCATAAAGCCGATATACAATCTCAGAAAATACCTAAATGATAGGTTGGAGTAAATTATGTGATTTTAATGGATTCATGGTACAAATTATCCTCCACTTTGAAGGGAATTAATGCTGATAAAATAGTAGTTGTCTAACAAACAGTGACACCTTATATATACATCAGACAAAGTAAGAAAGTTGCCATGACATTGCGACTGCATAATAATAGTATTTGGTTTACCTTTCAGATGTGAAATTGATCGTTTCTTAGACGCAACTAAGGAAGCTGAAAGACCGGAGAACGTAGCACTCTAGATATGACTGTAACCACTTAGTTTAAAGACCCCAAAACATCATGTCGATGCATGGCTATCAGGACGTGTGTAGCACCGCCATTCGACGTCAAAATACGCAACTACTGGTTGACCGTAAATTGACTATTGTTCCTAAAACGCCTCGAAGGCGCAGGAAAGAAAGGGCGCCAATAGTAGAATTATTGCCGTTCAGGAGGAAGGTTTGGAAACGAGAAAAATCATTTGCTTATAACGCACATGTTGATACTGTGAAAGATGCGCCCCGTATAACTGATGAAGTTGACGTGGAAACAGAACCTGCGTACGTAGAACCACGAATACAGACGCTGACACCTCGGGTGAGTGACCACATAGTGCCGTCACGTCAAAAAGGATCTTCCACGAAGAAAATTGGCCCGTCATCTTCTGTATCCTCGCTTTCTGAAACTCCCAGAATCCCTAGGTCATCGACTGAGCTATCGTTTCCATCATTCCCCGACGGGTTTGTGACTATAGGAACCAGGCAAAGGTCGACCTTAGAAGAAATACACGAGCGCGATAGGAAGCCATCGGATACGAGTAAAGAAAAGGACACGGCGTCCTATGATAGCATCAAAGATGCAATCGACCAGGAATCTAGTAATGCTACAAACAAAGTCAAGGATAATGATAATGTCTTGCGTGAAAAGAAAGAAAGGAACTTGTCACCACGACGGTTGACTGGCCACGCCGATTCGATCACCGAAGCGTCGATCACAGTGGATGGAGCGAGCATTCAAGAATGGCGAATCCCGCCAGATATACAGTTCCCCGAATACCAACATTATAATTTTTCTAGACCATATTTATCCGAAGATAATTATACTATTGATTCAGTTTCTAAAGTTCGCCCAAGTACGGACAATCGGCATTTGACGACTCCGCATGAAAAGTACACATTTGATCGAGCAATGACTCTTCCATCGATAAACATTCGAAACGCCCCTCTTAAGACACGACAGAAACGCAACGAAACATCAAGAAAGGACGTCAGTAAATCTGATAGCACATGGTCGTATCATGTACGCCACGAAGTGCCAAACACTCTGCAATACATGGAATCCAAGGGCAGGCCCATGGGATTAGAAAAACAACTCTCTATGGATTTAAGCATCACGTTGGATAATATTCGACGGAATAAATCATACAATGGAACTACGCAAATGCCATTTATCCTCGGGAGTCCACAAAGAGGGTATTTAAGAGCGCACGGGCCCCCTACTCGAGGTGAAAAACGCATTGAAGACGCAAGAAAGCCCAATCATTCGCAGCAGGCGGGGGTTATCAAGATACCATTAATTAATCCCCGCCACGCTCCACCAATTAGATTACAGTACACGGAAAAGCAGAATATATTCAAAATCCCCAAATCAGAGAGTAAGGACTCTGGCATTGATAGCATAGAACATCATTACAATCCAAGACAGCTTGATAAAACAATTGATCACTTTAAAATGTAGATGACGTTTTAACTGAACATGAAATACCTCATATAACTTCTGTTGATACACATGAAGATAGTGTCGCGTTGAAAAATGAACTAAGGACACTCTTTACCGATCTCAAGGTCAAAGTAAATGACATAATGAATGATAATTCTGGCAATATAGCGCAACATCAATGAAAATTGTTCTTGATCGCCTAACGAGTTTTACGAATCCACAAGGCCCACAACAATTGAGCACGAGGGCCAGGAATAAAACATGTAAGACATGGATTAAATTATGGATGTATGCTATAATACTAGATGCGTGTTTTAATATTTTATTGCTGAATTCCCGGGCCTCAGTTTGAAACATCATTTTTTAAGACTAGAGGAGAAAATAATTTAAATCCAGAAATGCATTAAAATGTTTACATAATAAGGTTTCGTAATTCCGATTAAAATGATACAATTTTGAGATAACCCAACAATCTTCATGTCGTCATTCGACCACCATTTGTCATACTTTCAGGTCGTTCGTCTGTCCAGCAGACTATGAATTCAGCACTAATTGTCATGTTTCAGAGGGAGATAATAATGCTTTCAAAAAGCTAAGACCCTCTAAAAATGTTCTTGCTGAATGTTTAATATATTATGAAAATAAAAATAGAAACCTATATAGTGTGTTTTGAGAATATTAATACAAAGTCAAAGTCAAAGTCAAAGGTTTAATCAGAGAAATAGGGGAGTGCAAGTCACGATTACATATTTTTACTTAGCTTTGTATGGTATACTCTTAAGATGGCTAAGGACGCAGCTCATATCATAAAATCATCATTAACAGCAACATTAATTTACACCTGTCATTATATGTTTAGGCTATTCAGAATGTATTTTGATCTGTAACGTGATATATTTCACATGGCCTTTCATGTAATGTACCTAAATGATAATTCTGATTCCACTCATATCTTTCTTCTTTCAACTGGCAACTAGTCAGAAATGAAACTAAAAAGCTAATTTAAATCTATCACCGATTATATGTAAGCCACATACGTCTATGATTTATATTTCATGTAGATATTGTACTTTAATTTACAACACAGACGGTATTTCTCTCCACATATAGATGACACTTTACTTAGTTTAAATGTGTAGGAGAGAATATGAGAAATTCTAAACACGGCCGCTTTCATGACGTTATTAATGAATTCTGATTCTTCGCCACGAGATTACGACCCTCCTTCATTCTGATACTCATAGCATATCTCTCTGTTGCATCGCAGATGCATCCAGAAGGATAGACATGGAGAGGACGCGGCTTACCACGATGACCCTACTTCTACATGGCCCCAACTGTACGTTGTCATGTTTGAAGCAAAATTGTGATGTAGGTTTTAAAACATTTATCTAAGGAATATGATGAAGTATTTCATGATCATGCTTAATTGCATGTGCATGCTCTTGGCAAGACTTTTAACTTTCGAATTACGTTACCCAGAAAAACCGTTTACTAGAAAAAACCTATAACAAAATATGGACAATCTTGTTTCTTTCAATTATTTATGTATCTTGACCACTGCATAGAACATGTTGATATTAAAAATGCAATCAAATAATTGAGTAATTATAATCCAAGTTATCTAAACTATCTGAATCACCATATAATAGTGCAACTTGGAAAAATATACAATAATTGGCCTAAATCTGGTCTCTCATAAAAGCGTTTTCTGACTTACTTACTGACTTTAATAATTAATCAGAGGGTATTTAGTAGCCCCCTATTAATGATATGTCAGGCAATTATTCCTTTATCCCTAAGAGCAACTACATGAAATATCAGGCAAAACTTATGCATACCTCAAAAGTTATCGAAAAAAATTTCAATAGAATTTCATTATTACTATTATAGAGGTCAGATAAATCATTAAGATGTCTTTGTGCAGACCTTGTGGCATATCATACTTTAAATAGGCATAATACATGTAATAATCAATCCGTCTTATCAATCAGAACGACATCAAACATAATCCCTAGATGTAAATATCTGCACTGTCGACTTGGTAAGCTTAATACCAATATATGAATACGGAGGTTAAGCTAAACGTTTGCAAGAGAATTTGTGCGTGAACGCGTAAATCTATAGATTTTGTCCTTATATGGGTCCATGATTTATACAGGGGCCTATTTCACAGACTCGAGCTCCCACATTGGATGGATGCTATAATTTTGAAATAAGGGAGATACAGGTCTAATTTTTTCAGATCTTCGAAACTGGCTGCTTTTAAGTATTTTATAATACTTTGGTAGCTGGTATATGATTGATTGCAATGGTAACCAGGGTTTTATGGAAATTTGGACCCCCAGATTGGATGGATGTTATAACTTTTAAAATAGGGGAGGTACTTGTCTCATTTTTCAGATCTTAGACAATGATTGATTTTAAGGATTGATTCAGACTTTGGGAGCTGGTATTCGATTGGTTACCATGGTAACCAGGTTTTTTTGAAATTCAGACCTCCACGATTGATAAACGCTATAACTTTTAAATACAGGCAGATACAAATATCATCTTCTCAGATCTAAGATAATAATAAGATGTTATATTGTATTAGACTTTGGAAGTTAGGATTTACTTTGTTGCCATGGTAATCAAGTTTCATTGTCATGGTAACTGCATATTTTAATATTAGGTTCACCTTCATTCTAGATACATGACATAAAATACCAAATTGCCATTTTATTCTTGATTTTCGGATTTTTTCTATTTTCTTTATATGATTTACATGCTCATGACTCAGCAATACTGGAGATGCAAAAATTGATTGGCTCATAAAATATCAAATACTAGTAAACAATACATGTACATCGGGCAGTATTGTCTCATTCCATACTACTAGTTCTCACAAATATTCTGACTCCTAACTTGTTCATTTGTACTCTTCATTACTGTTTTCATTTTAACAGGATCTTAAGAGGTTCTGGACAAATCATTTGATTCTGGACTTGACATATTTTTTTTCCAACGAAATCACATCCAAGGGTTGAATTTTTATTGGATATTTAGAGAGCGAGTCCTGTATTGATTTCAATAAAAAGGTTAAAATAGAACGCTATTTGAGAGTTAATCTTATACTTTCATTACATTGATAAATTAAGGCAAATTCTGAAAAATTTTAAAGTGCATTTTTTATGAAATATTATCCAAGTATTTAGATGAAACGGTCTTATTTAAATACAAATCATAACCATCCTCCTAAGCAGGTGTCCAGATCCGTACCTCCTTCTTCCCCCCTGCTATAAGCGTTTAGCATTTCCCCGATTAAGAACTCGCAATTTGATTGGCTGTCGCAACACTGCGACAGCAATCATGTATACGTTATCGGCGCAAAATTAGATCACGTGATTCAGCTTAATCGGGCGCGTCCAACTTGGTTATAGCAGGGGGTAAAAAGAGGGAAGATATTCTGGATTTTGAAGCCCTGTGATCGGAGGATGATCATAACATGATGATATTTTTTCATAAAATATTTCTTCAAGAAATTCAATTGAAGGCTCAAGATAAAACGAGCTAATTTAGGTGAAAACCCTTACATGATGATGTGTTTTCATGACTTCTTTCATAAAATTCCATCAAGGGGTGAAAATAAAATGATCGAATTTAAGTGATTTAAGGATCACGAGGATAGGTTTTCTTGGATATTTTCTATGAAATCCCATCCAGTGGTCAAGGTAAAATTTTTATTTGGTATATTTGGTCACGTGTTCGAACCCATAGAACCATATAGGAACGTCATTTTGAATGTTACGTCATAAATCCATATAAGGCTTTTAGAACAATGTGGGGAAAGATGAGGGGAAACCCCTGACACCTGTTCACGATTTTATCCGAACGTTCATCGGATCATTTCGGTTTTTATGCACTTCATTATTTTACCGAAGTTTGCCGATTCGATTCGTCGTATTTCGGAATATTGGGGACAATTTTATACTCCATTGGGAGTATTTTTAATCTACTTCTTATTACGAAGATTCCCGAACCTTGTTCGGATTAATCCGGATTTTCTGACCTACTTCATCTACCGAGATTTAACGAGTTTACATTCGGCTCATTTCGGAATCCTGGTGACAATTTTATACTCCATTGGAGTATTTTTGATCTACTTCTCTGGATTTTTGATCTACTTCTTATGACGAAGATTCCCGAATCAGTTCGGATTAATCCGGATTTTCTGACCTACTTTATCTACCGAGATTTAACGAGTTAACATTCGTCTCATTTCGGAATCCTGGTGACAATTTTATACTCCATTGGAGTATTTTTGATCTACTTTTTCTGGATTTTGCCCTACTTATTATAAGTTGACAGCAAGCAAATCAAAAAGTTCGCCATGAACGGGTTTCGATCGACTAACATAGAGAGTGGAAGCTAAACACGCTAGCCATGAGGCTAACGTTCACCTGTGTGAGATGATAAAAGTATCATATATTTATACCGAGCGTCAATTTAGAATGATCTTCGCTTTTGACTCCACTTAGATACAACTCGTCAGTTGTATCCAGAATAGGTGAACGCCTATGGTGTTAGTGAATAACCAAATCCCAGGCGAGTGGTTCGTATCCCACCGTGATATGTTATTTTTGCTTTATTAATACGACAGAAAGGAGCAAGGTGTAGGTTTGAAAACAAGACGTACGTTTATTTCAATACAGTTTTAGAAACATTAACCTCTGATAATTGAAGGATTTCCACTTCTGAAGCGCGACTAGATCTAAGAAGTTCATTAATCAAGACAGTGTAAACCTTTTAGATATATGTTAGACAATGTACACGCCCCGTGTGGAATCAACTAAATGTTACATTTTGGATTTCATTGAGATCCTGTCATAGTCCTAAAATTTATTTTTCTGGAACATCATTTTTTCAACACTGATACAAATTTCCCTGACATTTCCATGACATGTCTACAGTTTCAAAATTCCCGGACTCTTTGGCCCTTTTTGACCTTATTTTAAAATTCTCTGACATTTCAGGCACTTGGAAAATTAAATCAAAACCCTGACATTTCCAGGTGTGTACGAACGCTGGAATTATTCTTAAAATATCCTTCAAACAAAAGGGGAAAATGCTATGCACAAATACTCTAATTTAGTTTGTATTGTAATGCGTTGTATTACATTGCATTGCATTGTATTGTGTATTTATTTGAGTGTCCGTTGACGGTAAAGAAGGCATTTAAAAGTGGGGAACAGCGTATCCTAACGTTCACGGAGCAAATTCAACTCTCGTTCACGAGGACCTTGTTTTTGGGCTCTTGTCCCAAAGATAACGATTGTATAAGGTTGCATAATCAGGATTATGAGCTTTCATGTTCTCATAGTTACATCTGTTGTAAAACGAATCTTGTCGCAACCTCTGCGAATCACGACAGCATAACATTTGAATCACGTTGACATCATTGCAAAATTAGGCTAAATATGCTAAGTCAAGACGTTAATTAGCCCACGAAAGTTCATGGGTAACTTGAGAACTACAAAATACAACCAAATACTTTTCGAACGTACAAT